CCCTTCCTGTTTTATGAACCATCATCAAAGTACGCCGCTGTCCATTCACTCCATGCACACATATACGTACTGAATATATAGGCTGATGAAAGTTGCAGCCGCTTTAACAAGCGAATAAAAGTGCTGAATAGGAGAAATAAAGTTAAAGACGGCAGAATGTGGCCTACATATGGCGCAGAAAATATACTGCTATATCACTTTTTATCTTAACACACACCTGAGTGCGGCCTGTGGCTTCCAGATTAAATACAGGTGATTCTTGATTTTTATCCTCACTCTGTTTTTTTCTTTTTAAATGAATGAGTAATTTGGACTAGATGAAATATATCTATGCACACATACAGGCAAACATTCACCCAGGCAGTGCTTCTTCCGTGCATGCAGGGTGCTGCTGTACCTCCACAGCATTAAGCATGCAGCCTGACTGATGTATGACGGAGCCGGCGACGCGCTGCCATTTACATATAGAGATTCCCCTCTGCGCGCTCCCTGAGTCCGAGCAGCTCTGCGGGCTTTGATCAATGTCCCGTCTTGACTCGGAGTGTATATGTGTGTGTGTGTGTGTGTGTGTGTGTGTGTGCGCGCGCGCGCGTGTGTGATGGGGTGTGTATAAAGTCAGGAGAGGAGGAGGAGGAGGGAGAGAGAGGAAGAGAAAAAGGAAAAACACTCTTTGTTGCCAACAGATGGAGCGGGGTGTAGGGAGAGGTCAAGGTTAGTGCTCTCGGATGTGTGTGTGGAGGGTGTAAAACGAGGGCCCCTTTAAGTGTGGGTACCAATTGGGGATGGCATGGGCTCTATTAAAATCAGGAGAGCAAGTTTTGCGTGATAGATGAGCTGGAGGCTCCTACTCTCTGTCACGTTTCAACAACAGTGTGTTTAGAAAGCAGTTGTTCCTCTTTGTGCGTAAAGGTTTCTGGTGACTTAAAGGTTTGAGCGTTTTGGTGCCAAAGGATGCAGTGACGCATCTATATCAGCCTGAAGTAAAATTAAGCCAGTTTTATGTAACAGCCAATAAGTCATGATAATAAATGACAGTAAAAACCAGTAACATGACGAAGTCCCTACTTCCTTTTGGATGTTTTTAACTGCGGGCGCAGCTCCGAACGCTCCGCCGTGTCACAGAGCCTGTATGGGCTTCTAGTGTTACTGGATCAGGTTTAGTGGGTGCGGTGGCCGCCTGTCGCCATCCAGACAGCAACAGGCCACCCAGGACATCCGATTCCCGGGAAAGAAAGCTGAAATCTCCCCATTTACCCCCCAATTACGCTCCTTAAAAGAACCCTCGTATCCCAAAGGGAACTGTAGCGTTTGTCTTTACACTCTATCGCCTATGGTGGTTTATGGGCATCTTTAACGCGTGTTAATCCTTATCAGGACACTGGGTTATTTTAAAGGAGTGTAGCCTCTCCATCACTGACAGAGCGGTGAGGTTTTTCAAGCTGAAGAAAAACCTGAAGGGTTAACACCCACCTAATAAGAACTGTAAATCTTGAAATCAGCGCAAATATTACAATTATTTCTTTCTAAATCACTAAAGTGCTCAAATGAGGCAAATACACAAGAAAAATATAATAATTTAAACTAAACCCCCACTTAACGGTCACCATCTGCGCCTTTTTGATCCACTTTGACACTGAAAATATCACATTTTAAATCAATTCTCCAAATTCATGCGCAAGCGCTGCCTGTCTCCAGAAACACTGTAATAATTCAGATGTAAAACATGTATTCCTCTCTGTAATCTCACATCCTACCTCACGTGGATTCCAGTTAAATTGTCTAAAGAAAATATATTATATGAATATAATAATACAGCTATAATGGGCAAGCACACCGAGTATCTACAGATGAGGAGAAATACTACAAAAATCAATCAGCATTATGATTTTGAATTGGCTTCATGAGTGAATATACAACGAATGACTGTAAGTGAACCAATTCATGGCTGATAGATGTAACCCGCCTCTGCCATTAGAGCACACAGTTTTATTAAGATGATATTGTCATTATCATTAAATTATATTTTTAAAAAAAATCCCTGCAAGGTTTAAACCTGCCTGCACTCTGACACACGGTCAGATAATCACTCTGTGCGGGATAATCACCATGCACACACACACACACACACACACACACACACGCACTCACACCATACACACCGGTCCGTCTAATAAGCCACGCAGCGAGTTTCAACCTGCAAAATATTTCACTCACTGGTCATGCATTTTTCCCCCTTGACGTTGAACCTCCTCCTCCTCCACTCCTCCGGCTTCTCTCTCTCTCCTTCTCTTTCTCTCTGTCTCTCTCCCATCACCTCTCTCCTCCTCCTTCTCCTCCTCCTCCTCTTTCTGTCTTGGCTCCCTCCACCACCCCCACCCCCTCGGTATTAAGTGCGCGTCCTCTTCGGTCAGTGCGCGTAGCTCCAGGTCCTCCGAAGCACCACTAGAGTCGCCGCTGCCGCCGCCGCCGCTGCAGCTCCTGTTCCGGGCTCCTGCTCTTCAGAGCCGCCGCCGCTGCTGCTGCTCTTCCTGCTCCTGCCGGTGCCGCTTCCCGGTCGAATCTCTCCGTCTCCTCCTCCTGTTACCATCCCTTCCACCTCGTCCACACAGCACCGGTGGCTCTCCTCTCTTCTTCCCATTTTGCGCCGTGTGTCTCCGCACTTCATATCTGTGTTCGAAAACCCCGGATCGCGTCGGGCTGCTGCGGCGCCTTTGCCGTTTAAAGCCCCGCGTCTTATATTACCAAACCCCCTTTATTACAAGAGTATTTACAATCTCTTCCCCCTCCTCTTCTTCTTCTTCTTCCTCCTCCTTCTCCTCCTCTCCACACCCCCCCTCCACCACCACCACCACCACCACCACCAACACACCCTCCCCTGTACCGTATGCAGCTCGAACCTGAGGCACATCTGAAAGTTATTACACGGGGCGCTTATGTGCCCGCTCGCACTCCCACGGTCTGCACGGGGCTGCAGTGTGGATTTCACGCAGACAGATACAGAGACAGACAAACAGGCAGAGGGGCTCTGGACCCTATAGTGCCCCTTCTAACCCCCCCCCCCCCAATGCAGACACATACTTATACTGTACACCTCCGATTACAGGCTGAATGTTTATTTATGGCACAGACATGTAGCAGAGCTCAACATCAGATATGAATTCATCTAGTTTCTTTGAATAAATTAATAAAATAATAAAGCAGAGAAACTTTTTCTTGATTGTAAATTTAATAGATGTTCCAAAGGAGTTTGGCGCAAGTGTTTTCTCTGCCAAGGTTTTCTAGCCATTTTTTGTCATGAGTGTTAAGTCATCATATATATAAATAATTATGCACCATTGTGGGGCATTGTCTAGCTCATGATCAGACCCAATAAATTATAATAACCACTTTGTTATGAAACTGTTTTTAGATTTAAAAAATGACGCGCAATATTGCAGATCCAGGTGTATAATAATGCAAATGATATTAACAGGATTCTGTCTTTGTTTCACGGGGCCGGGATGTGATTATCATCAGAGCACTGTGTATATGTAAAGCATATGTGAAGCCACCCAGGTTATAGCCTGTGCCTGTGTTTCTGTTGGCTGTTCAACCTGTTCGTCCTGTTCGCTGCAACCGGATAGTTTGCTGCGCTCCTTGTCATTTTAACACGTGCATCTCCCTCTGTCTCTATCTGCATAACATAGCCTTTATGTGCACGCGCTTTAAGGAAACAGACATACATATATATGTGTGTACACTCGCGCGCATCCAGGTGAGCTTGTGGCCGGCACTGCGCGCTTTTCTCAGGCTGAAACAGTGGCCACCACATGCGACAGACTTTGTTCACACGCGCACACACTCCTCCGCTCTGTAGTATATGCAGCAGCATCATATCCGCCCCCCTCCAGTGAGCTCCTGTCCGCGGCTTCCCTTGCCCTGTTTTGCGTCCACCTCTCTCTCTCTCTCTCTCTCTCTCTCTCTCTCTCTCTCTCTCTCTCTCTGCATATTGCTTTCATTAGACATCTCTGCCTCTCTCTCTCCCTCTCTCACACACTTGCACTAACACACACACACACACACACACTCCTCCCTCCCTCCAAGAGCCTCTTGTCCGGCCCCCCTGATCTCTGTGTCCATTGGCTTCCACTGGGTCTATTTCTCATGTCCAGCCCCCCTCTCTCCCTCCTCCTCTCCCCCCCCCCCCCCCCCCCCCCCCCCTTCCTGTTTTATGAACCATCATCAAAGTACGCCGCTGTCCATTCACTCCATGCACACATATACGTACTGAATATATAGGCTGATGAAAGTTGCAGCCGCTTTAACAAGCGAATAAAAGTGCTGAATAGGAGAAATAAAGTTAAAGACGGCAGAATGTGGCCTACATATGGCGCAGAAAATATACTGCTATATCACTTTTTATCTTAACACACACCTGAGTGCGGCCTGTGGCTTCCAGATTAAATACAGGTGATTCTTGATTTTTATCCTCACTCTGTTTTTTTCTTTTTAAATGAATGAGTAATTTGGACTAGATGAAATATATCTATGCACACATACAGGCAAACATTCACCCAGGCAGTGCTTCTTCCGTGCATGCAGGGTGCTGCTGTACCTCCACAGCATTAAGCATGCAGCCTGACTGATGTATGACGGAGCCGGCGACGCGCTGCCATTTACATATAGAGATTCCCCTCTGCGCGCTCCCTGAGTCCGAGCAGCTCTGCGGGCTTTGATCAATGTCCCGTCTTGACTCGGAGTGTATATGTGTGTGTGTGTGTGTGTGTGTGTGTGTGTGTGTGCGCGCGCGCGCGCGTGTGTGATGNCCCTCCAAGAGCCTCTTGTCCGGCCCCCCTGATCTCTGTGTCCATTGGCTTCCACTGGGTCTATTTCTCATGTCCAGCCCCCCTCTCTCCCTCCTCATCTCCTCCCCCCCCCTTCTCTCTCTCGCTCTCTAATGACCGTCCATTGGTGTTGTTATTGCGCGTCCCGTCCGTCCCTCCTCCCACTCCCACTCCCACCCGGGTGCCTCGGCCCTGCCCATGTTTTTGTATGTCGGGTGTCCGTCCATCGCCTGACGTTCAAGTTCGCCGGGAACGTCACGTCCGTGCACTTGAACTTGCACAGCTCAGAGGGGGGGTTGAGGGGAGGGGTGGTGGGGGGGAGGGGGGGCTTTTGCCATTTTTTCCATCTCTCTCCCCTTCTCTCTCTCTCCATCTACCTCTCTCTCACTCTCTCTCTCTTTTTTCTCTGCTCTCCTTTCTCAAAAAAGCCATGACGGCGATCCCGCGATCCATCTTCGCCTCCGCGCCATCTTTGTATTATTTCTAATTTATTTTTATTTTTTTTTCTTGTGGATGTCAAAGGCGTTGGATGAAGATATTTTTTGCCCCGCTGGAGTCTCCTCTCTAACCCCGGCTCTCCCCGATGTGATCCGCGCTGAACGCCGCCGCCAGCCACCATGTCTCGCCGCAAGCAAGGCAAACCCCAGCACTTGAGCAAACGGGATTTTTCGCGTAAGTAGAGATGAAAAAAAGAAAGAAAAATGTCACTTCTGACTCCTTTTCATTTCATTCAGCAAAGACAAGGGGGGCAAAGGCAGCAAAACAGGAGCTTGTGGACACCGGACGTACCGCTCGGACCCGCGGTCAACTGGACTTAACAGTGTGGAGAGAAAAGTGCGACACCTCCGTGCGTAAAAGCCGCTCGGAGATCCCAAAAGCCCGAAAGAGAGAAAAAAGTTTGTGTGTCGGTATACAGCCCGTTACTTCTCCTCTGTTACACGGGGTGAATGTGCATTCATAGGCAGTTAAATGCACTCGCTGTGGCTCCGGTGCCCCCACGGTCGCTCCGGTCAGTGGAAACGCGCAGGGCTCCCGGTAGCAGAGCGCGTCCTCTCCGCGGAGCTTCGTGGAGAAATCACCCCCCGGAATATCGCTGTCTGATAGCTCTGCGGGCAGGTTTTTCATCTGCTCTCTCTCGTTCTATTTTTGGATTATTTTCAGGGAAAAAAACTTGGAGGTGGATTTTTGGATCGAGGGGGGAAAATCTCGTGTCCGACTGTTTACAACTGCCTCCCTCTATCAGCAGCTCCGCAGCACAGACAACACAAATCGATATATTTTTACACACTTGTAAAATCCTAATGCCTCTTATGTAAAGGCTGTTTATTGATGTTTAGTTTAGATGAGAAGCTCTCTTTTTCAAACAGAGCAGAGCCGCTGCAGCCCAGAGTTAGGAACACAGCAACAGGACAGCAGCACATTTAATCCTGTCGTTTTTGTTATTTTTCTTATGAAGCCAAATTTGGACCGACAAAAATTCCAACTTAGGATTCTAAAGCTTCATGTACAGTAAGGTAAGACATAAATGTCAGCTTGCTGGTGTGTTGCAGCTGCAGCTTGTGAGGAAAAGCAGCGAAATTCCAACAATGTTTAGTTGAGTCGGCAGTATCCGTCTTTACGCACGGCTTTTATTCATCACCAAAGCTTTATTTTTTCCAGTTTATTACACGCATAAGTCTGATATGTGACAGTGAGCAGATATAAGTGTGTTTGGAAACTGCGGAGCGATTGGCAAAGTGGCGCTTATCACCACACCATGTGCCGCACTGTGCGCCACCTCGCAGCGTTTTAGCGGCTCTATAAGTGTCCAGTAAACATAAAACAAGAAGTTATTTGGGCATCTTTACGCATCAGTGCTTGATTATGTTTCGGTATGTTGACTGGCTGTCGCCTGTGTTTGGTTTGGAGAGAGAGAGGGAGAGTGTGTGTGTGTGTGTGTGTGTGTGTGTGTGTGTGTGTGTGTGTGCGTGTGTGTGTGTATGTGTGTGTGTGGCCCCGGCTGGGTGACAGCGCAGTCATCATGGCCATGTGCCGTCGCTAGGAGGCAGAGCACGATCAGAAAATCCAACGCTGAACTTGAACCTGATCAGTTTCACCGCCACCCCTATCTACACGGGCTACTATTTGGCGATCTCTTTAGAATAACGGGAGAGTATACAAGACATGGGGAGGGAGGGGGTGGATGGAAGGATGTAGGGAGGGAGGAGGTCCCCCCCCCATCTCCAAATCTGCAATTCCTCTTCATCACCTCACCTTCTTTTCCTGTATCTCCTTTTTTGTGCATCACATTTTTACATACATGCAGGCTGCAATCAGCATATGCAGCTGCACTGTAGTGTGCCTGCAGACCTCGCCTTTTACCCCCCCTTCAAATCTTACAGCACACACCACATACACACACGCACACACACACTTCATTTAGCTTACATTTGTTACAAATGAAGCACAGAATCTAGCCTATCGCTCTGATGCAAACACTCATCCCTGATTATTTCCTCTTTTCATCACCTGTATTTTTATTTTCTATATTTCTCACAATTCTATATTTCTAGTGGATTATTTAGCATATAATACATTTCCAGTGTTTGATTTGTAACAGCATGATTAAGCTGAATTTAAGCAGTAAAATGTAACAAGACTCAACAGTGTGTGTTTCAGTGATACAGCTCAGCTACATTTCCTCCTCCAGACTAAATTACATTATCACTATTTTCATATTTTTGTCAAGATGGAAATATATTTTGAGTAGTTAATTGAGGCAAAGAGAAATCTTTCCACAGTGAGGTTTTCTAGCTTTATAGATTTATCAGACAGGTGGAACTTTTAACCTACAGCTTAGTGAAAGGATTTCTAGTCGAGAGGACATTTACGCCTTGATTTTTTCTTCTCCTGTAGGAAAATGTGATTGTATTGTTATGCATATTTTCATATATCAGTACGGTGTAAAGAACATAATCCTTCCTGCTCCTCATGCTGCTTATTTCACCCAGTTGCATGTTCTTAAAAACATACAAATAAGTGATTTATGCATGTTTCTATTTTATTGAAATTGAACTCTGTGCATGGAGACATGCTTTGAATTAAAACAAAATCTTATTTAGGTCTCTCACCCTCCCTCCTCATGCACCATTAAATCCAACAAAATGTTTTTTCAAACCCCCGGATATCCACTCTTGAGTTCAACTTAAGAGGTGAGGGGCTTATGCAGCTTTCATTAGATTTTTCTTTTTTTTTTTTTTTTTTGTTGTGAATTTAATGCCCCTCCGGGAGCTGTTGTGTAACTTGCGTGGCGTTGTGTTGACCTGAAGTTAAATCAAAGAGGAGAAGGGTGGGGAGGAGGAAGAAGATGAGGAGGAGATGGGGGAGGAGGGGGTGTTGATAGGATGGAGGGGGGTTAGTGGTGGTGGTGGTGGTGTTGGTGCAAGCCCGGAATTTATCATGTTATCTCCATGTCCCAGTTTGCGCACAGATGTCGCGCAGGATTGCGGCGTTCAAATGATATTTCCTTGAGGGGATGTAGTCCACGTTCAGACCCTATCTCACTCTCTTTCTCCCCCTCTCTCTCTCACACACACACGCACACACACACGCACACACACACGCACACACACTTGTGCATTCCCACACACACTCTCTTACACATGCATGCACAGGAACCCTATCCCTTTTATCAGACAAAATCTGTACCAATCACCCAGACAGTGAAAATTAAAATCTATTTTTTGATTCTCAGTGGTTTTAAGTTCATTAAAATGTGAAATTGGCGGCTGAGTAAAGAAGGTCAACATGCATTAGGCGGCTAGCACAGAGTCAGACTCTTCACCTTGGACTGGAAGATTTTCTTTAAAAGAGGGACAGTGAATTATGTTCTCCCGTTTCGCTTCTCTAATTCGGCGGGCTGCTCTCTTCACACTCCTCTCCCTCCACTGCAGGACGGTCTGAGCCTGACAAAAGGCTTCTTAAAAAAGTAGTCAGGAGTTAATCCGGCCTCGGAGGGGTGAGGAATCGGGTTGAACGGCTCATTTTGGGGTGATTTCCCGCTGTACAAGCGGCTGGTGTCTAAGAACTATAAGTCAGGCACATGTAATCGAGGCCGAGGGAAGAGTTTTCCCTCTCCCTGACACACACACACACACACTCTCTGTGTGCCGCCTGCCTTCCCTTCCCTTTCCCCCGGCACATATGTTGGACATGTTTGTGACAGTTTTTCCTTCTGCTGATTACAGGATCAAAACCTGTACAAACAAGGTTAGGCAAGTCAAACTCATCCACATATTTAGTTTTTTGGTGAATGCTGTGTTTAACCATCATTGTCTAAGCTTCCCCTGTCATTGGCTATGAAATTGTTATCTTTGAGGAATCTGATTTGAGCTTACAGGATATTCTCTCCCACCATTTATTCTTATGATGTGTGATCCAGATCAGCTTGCAGTGTAATCATTTTTCCTGCATTACATGCATTTCTATCATTACAAGGCACATTTTCTCACCCCATTATTGTGTCTACCACATGTCTTTTGCTTTGCTTTGACTCTGTAACTCTGATCTTCTGTGTGACTGACAGAGGAAGGTTTTGTTCACTTTTCTCTTGTCATCTATTCCCACAAACTGTTGTATCAATAGGTTTAAATTACAGGAGACAAAAAGAAAAATATAAACATGTGGTTGTTGGTTTTTGCTGAGAGTAAGCATCACCTTCTAATTTCCTCTTTTTTTGCTCCCTCTCCTTCTTTCCTCACACCCCCCTCTTCTTCTCCCTCTTCCTCTGTGCTTGTTCCCCCCCTCTGTCTCGCCAGCAGCCGAACCCCTCTCCACGGCCGTCGTCTCGTCGGAGGAGCTGTCGGAACGCTGCTCGGAGAACTCAGAGGAGAGCGGCAGCCTCAACGGGCACCACCCGGGCTCCACAGTGGGCCGGCTGGCCCGGCTGGGTCACGATGCTCACCCCTCACTGGAGCAGGACCTGCTGACCTGCGGCCAGTGCCAAGCCACCTTCCCCCTGGCGGACATCCTGCTCTTCATAGAGCACAAGAGAAAGCGATGCCACGGGCCGCCCTGCCTCGCCGTGGGCCGGGGGCTGGACAAGCCCCCCTCGCCCTCCCCTGGCCTGGCCCTCACCCCGTCGCCTGCATTTGGCTCTCTGCGCAGTCGAAGGCCTGTGGAAGTGGGTGTCCAGGCCACGCTTGCAGATGACGATGACGACCGGTTCTCATTGCCCCGGGGGATTTGCCCCAAACAGGAGCCCCTCCCAGGTAACCAGACCTGCTCCCACATCATACATCACCTTTGTCTGGATTTGAGCACAGTGGCGGTGGTGCTCAAATTAAGAGAGAAGCAGCAGCTTTACTCAGGCAGTGGCTGCCAGATCGTCACTGTAGAGGATGTGATTATGTATCAGCTTTTGTGTGAATGAGGAGGTAAAATCTGACAGAATATTAAAAATAGACCATAAGTAGCTCTTTCCTTTCAAACATTTTCTGAAACATTACTCATCACAGGATAAATGAACTCATCTGGATCAGAAGCAGCTCTCAGTGTCCAGATTCTACTTTTCTAACTGGCCCATTGTCATTTTGTGTACTGCCCTGAATGGGCGTACGTTTTTTGGATGTGTGTGTGTGTTTTCTGCAACGTCAGGCTTTGTTTTTATATCGTCGACGCAATGTGGGTGTGCTGTGGTACGACAAGCCAGCGGAGTCTAGCCTGCATGTTGCCCGTGATCTCCATCCAAACCTTGTGGGGGCTGTAGCAGTCTGAGCTCGAGGTTTTTTAGGGGACACACACATGCCAATCCCTGTTAAGGCAAGAAATCTGATTGGCTGAGACTTGTTTGAGGGGGCGGGATGAAGTGGATGGGTGGGGTGGCTGTTGTCAGACAAACAACAACAGAGGGTCGTCACAGGTGGGTAGGAAACCCGGGAGAATACGCCTCTGTTCTCTTCTACAGCTGGCACAAAAGACAGTGGTTTGATTTAGGGTGGCTTTCTCTCTGCGCCTGTGTGTGTGTGTGTGTGTGTGTGTGTGTGTGTGTGTGTGTGTGTGAATTGTTCTCAGTCTTTACTGATTAAAGTAAAGGGCAGTGTGTATGTTTGTGTGTATGAGAGTGTGTAAGACAACGTAGCCAATATATCTAATTATCTACCGAGTCTGTGCAATTGTCCTTCCACGGATTCATCGATTAAATGCAGTGTGTGTGTGTGTGTGTGTGTGTGTGTGTCAGTGAAGATGTGTATGTGTATGTCTGTGTGTGTTTTCCCAGTTTACCCAGTTTGGCCATGGTGACCAAATCCCACAGGCCAGTGGCAAAGAGACATGGGTGACCTTGACTTTGTGGTACCACTGGTCAGTGTGTTAGTGCACTTGTGAGACCATAGTGTAATCGTTTGTTTGTGTGTGTGTGTGTGTGTGTGTGTGTGTGTGTTTGTGTGTTTGGGCAGATGTATGATCAGTGCTTGCACTGGATGTAGCTAAAACTGTGTGTTTGTGTGCAACTCTCAGTCTGGGGAGTAGCTGCAGCCTCTTTCTGGGATTGGGTGCACAAAATGTGTGTTCTTGCATAGCGTGTGTGTTTGTGTGTGTGTGTGCTGTTCTCTCATGTGGCCCTAGCAGATGTGTCCTGCTCTCGGTGTGGTTTCCCCCCTTCCACTGCCACATCTTACCCGACCAAATGCAGCCCAGCTCTCCATCTCTTTCATTCTTCTCCCCTCTCTGACTTTACCTCCGCACCAAACTTCATAGGTAAACGCAGCGTTTTTCCTCCAGTTTCATCCCTCTTTTTCCTCCTTTTCCTTTTCCCTTCCCTGCCGTCTCTTTTCCCGGTACAAGAATCAAATGAGAGGCGAGCGGAGAGAGGGAAAAGCCAGTTTTAGTTTTGCTCTTAGAGGGAAAGTCGTTTATTTAAAGCGTCTTAACACCACTAATTATTTGTTGCAGTGCCATTTTTTTTCTTCCTTGTGCATTTTAATTAGCAGTAGTTTTTAGTGGCGGGCTGCCTGTACTAAATTAGCCGTTACAGAGAGAGGGAGAGAGAGAGAGAGAGGGGGGGAGAGAAAAAGGGGGTGAAGATGAAATAGAGCAGCGGAAACACACTTGCAAAATACACACTTTATCACTTTGCTCGTTGAATGCAGCTCAGGAATCCTAAATGCTGCAGTTTGTTTTCCATTTCGAAGTTGGTGTGTGTTTGAGGAAATAAGCACAATAAGCTGGTTAAGGTTCTGCTTTCTCTTAACTGATCTCAGCTTTTACAATTTTTACACTCACAGGAAGTGGAAGTGAGGAAAAATGTTGTCAAAGATGTATTTGACCTTTGACCTTTGGCCTTTGAGACAAATCCATCTACTGTATGTCAGCTGGAACGAGTTAGTGCAACATATTTTTTTCTTTTTTGCCAAAGCTGCTTGTGTCTCTGCAGTGACTATACATTTCAACACCTACTCCCACACACACACACACACTCACAGACACTCACCAGCTAAACTGGGTTATTAGAGCGATTTACATCATAATACAGGCGTCTGGTTGCTTCAATAGCGTTGTGTGTGGGAACGTCTTGGTAGGAACAGCTGTACACTCAGACAGGAGGAGAAAACAGGACAGCAGTGTTATATATCTTGTCTGATGTTGACGTCAGGCCGAACAGCAGACGGACCGAGCATTATTAAATGTTTACTATTTGGAATTTTAAACCAAAAAAGGAACACTCAGCTTTTAGAATAACCATCCGCAGGAGGAATTCATCTTTTTATTTACATCTCTCCTCTTTAATCGATGCTTTTTTTGGATCCTTCTCTCAGCCACTGGAAGCACACCAGCACAAACACCACCTCGCATGCTGAATTTACGCAACACATCCATTCTGATAGCTGATAATTAAAGCCAGTATTTTCCTCCCCGACCTCAGCTTTCATCCTAATTGACCCCAAACTGTCACGGTGAAGTAAATATGTGAAAGGCAGAAAAAAAAAAAAAATCTGCTGGAATTTCAGCCGCGATTACAGCCGTCCAAAAGCATTCCTAATGACAAAAAAAGGAGGCGAGGGAGGAATGCGTGTGTGTTTCTTATTTGTAAATGCTGGCTTGGTGTTCCACTGTGTCTCGTAGCTTTTCCTTACAGTATATGAGGCCTCTACTGCAGCCTGTAAGAAATCAAAATTACCAGAATAACAGGAAATTAATTACATGCCTCTTTTTTTCCCTCAAAGATTCAACATATGCCAGTTTAATACTGCTAATCAATGTCAATATTTTACATTTAACACTATTTCTATTGGGTTTAGGTTTTAGCATCCGTGTTGCTCAGTATGCAGTGATTTTAATCAGTAAAAATGTGATCCAAATGCCATCATTTTTAATTTATCTTCTTGTCTTCTGGGGGGGATTTACTGCTCTGTTAGGAATCATATTTTACTCTGACTTCTTTGAGAAATCCAAGGAATACTTTTCATCTTATGTTGCAGGAAACCAGACCTCCTTTATCTCCACATATGTAGCTTGTTTTTCCTGCATATGTAATGTGATGGCTGTATGTCTGCTTGTTGTAAAAATGTGTATCAGTATCTCTGGTCAGAGTGCTACAGATCTCCTCTGGCTGCTGCGAGGCTCAGAGGAACACAAAGCGTCGGACTTGTGCCGGAACGCTGCTATTTACATATCAAACAGCCCCGGCCGAGGAGAGCCGAGACATTACCTGTGTGTGTGTGTGTGTGTGTGTGTGTGTGTGAGCGGGAGAGCACCGTACAGGCAAAATGCCGATCAGTGATGCAAAAAAAGGCAGCATACCCGCCCGCCCACACCACACACAGACTCACACACACACATGGTTAGTGCTCTCTCCCTCTCTCTTGCCCATTTATTCTATTAATCCCTGACTGAGATGAAAATTCTGATTATAATCCCTGAGGCGCCCCTCATTCAGAAACAGCATCGCTAATGTCTCAAAAGAGAGGGGTTTGCATGTGTGTGTGTGTGTACGTTTTTGTGTGTGGATGGCCATGTCTCTGTCTTTTTTTCTCTTTTTTTTTCTTTGTGGTTGTGATTGAAAAAAAAAAAATCTTGAAAATTGAAATTTAGAATGAATTCTTTTGTGGATTATTTCCACAGTAAATACAATTTCTGCTGTCCAGTTTGCCAATTGATTTCTCATAATTAGCATCAAGAATTTAATCCTCTCCTCTGTGTAAAATCAGTCCTAATATGTGCGCTAATGAGCTGAAATTGATATGCAGCCAGTGCAAAGAATTATTCATCTTATTGACCACTGATTTTATTGAGCAATACTGGCTGATAAACCGCGTTAGCCTAGCAATATTAGCTCATTAACAAGAGATATTATCAATACGCGTGCATTGTGACAAATACAAAAATTTCTTGAGCCTAATTCATCAGACATGCTGATATTTTTCGCCCAAAAATATCCGTCTGCAGTCCATCATTATGGTCAGCCCACTGAAGAGTCATCCTGGCTTGAAGCCTCGTAACATGAGTATTGTTAGTCTATGATCTAGTGATTAGCAATTAGCTTATCATCACTGGCTAATGCTGCCCACCTCAATACACATTAGTGCATTTTTAACACCCATTCATTGTCTGGCTCGGTGTCAGATCTCTTTCTATCTCATATCTGTTCTCTCCCTCCTCTTCTTTTTTTTTTTTTTTTTTCATTTTCTCTTTTGGCTCATGCATCTGTCTCTCTGCAACATTAGCAGTCAATGCAAATCCGGGACAGCCAATTGATACTGAATCAATTACAGTATGTTTGGTGTGTGTGTGTGTGTGTGTGTGTGTCATGCTGAAGCACATCCCGGCGAGCCTACAAAGAGATTTCACACACTGGCTGCCATTACTAATCTATTGTTGCTCTCGCTTTCTTTCGCAACATAAGATTTTATTTAGTGGACTCAAGTGCAGCGTTTGAACTCAGGCATTTCTCTCCCAGTGCAGTGAAAGTCTGACTGTGTCGGCATTTTGAATGAGCTTACTGCGTGTAAACATGTTGCTGTGTGCAGAAAACATCACTGGCAGGATAATACATACAGCAGGCCACTGGAATGACTGGAAAAGCTAATAATCTGCCACCAAGGCCAACAGGCTGTACTGTGTTTTCTACCCAGCACTCACAAAAACTCCATAAACTGCATATTGACTGAAGTGAACTGTTGATTATTGTCTTGCTGTAAATGTGTGGGTGTGTGTTTGCAGAGCGTGTCTGCGATCCAGACTGAAGCAAAAAAAAAAAAAAAGACTTAGAATT